TACTATACTCTATACCCCGGCCCCTGTCCTGCCCACTAGAGGAGCCAGCCGCATTTACATTGACGTTAGTAACGAATTGTTAGTCGAGGATAATTTTTACAATTGCTCCACGTGACTTTTGCTTGCTTTGTTTTACAAGGTTGGGTACTAAGGCATCCACTCAACCCTAGAGAGAGAGAGAGAGAGAGAGAGAGACACAGAACCTTGCTAGACTGAGAACCGGTTTGCACTCCGATGTGGCTAATCTGTTTTAAAAGAACTGTAAAACACCCGCAGTGAAACAAAACTACTCGAGCCTCAGGGGAGGGTAATTGGTGCTATGGCTTATTAATGCCAGTGTTTCCACACAGGTGGCCCCCGAAGACAGGTGGTTCTGTGCCATGCATATTGTTGTTTTCCCAATAGCCACAGGTTTGTTGAGCAACCCCCCCCCCCCTTCAAAGTCAGAGATTACTGGCTGAGAATGGACTGTGTGCCAAGTACTGCGCAGTCACCCGGTCACCCGCCTTCCCAGAGTGGCATCATCAATCTGTTTTGTCGGAAGAGCAGTGGGGACCACTTGTCACAGTGGGACTCGAGACTTCAGTGTGGTTCTCACGCATTTCTGGGCATTGCTTCGCTGCCCTGGTTCCTCCTCATGGAAAAAATTATCTCTCTAGCACGCACACGCCACCTGGCAGCAAACCCAGAACCCATGGTAGTTGAAACATGCATATATTTTAAAGCTACGGGGGTTCCACGGTTTTCTTTTTGGCTGTAAATCATCAAATGCAAAGCTGCAAGGATTTCATTATTGACACGGAGATGCTAATAAAAGCTGCTAAAAGCCAATGGCCTTTCTTTATTTCCCTTGCTCTTTCTCTTCTTTTCCCTTTTTGCTTTACCCCCTCTCCTCTTCTCTCTTCCCTGCTCCTCCCCCATCTTCTTAGGATGTATATAAATCACTGTGATTGCAGCAAACAACTTCAAGGGTGCGTGTGTGTGCGTGTGTGTGTGCGCGCGCGTGTGTGTGTGTGTGTGTGTGTGCGTGTGTGCGTGTGTGTGTGTGTGTGTGTGTGTGTGTGTGTGTGTGTGTGTGTGTGTGTACTGATAGCTGCAGATCTAACTAATCACTGCTTTGTTCTCCTGACAATAATTCATTGTCCTCTGCAGGATTAAGGGAACCAAAATGGCTCCTCGCTGGTTGTCCACAGAGACACGTCTGTCACTTGACAAGTATCACTTACAGAAAAGAACTTTGGTTGTGCAAATGCATTCAGTATTTCCCAATTCCATCTGGAGCAAGAAGCCCTCCTAGAAGACAAAGGCCACTTGGTTTGTACACAGAATGAAGGACATGTGTAGAACTGAAACTGGGCCTTGCAGCACAGCGCGGATGTGGTGGCCACAGCTTTGGGAGTCTCCTTTGGTGACAGGAGGAGTTGGTGCCAGGAGGTACATTCCCCAGCCCTGCCTTAGCCTTTCAGCTTTGCATGTTACATCTGAAATCTAAGGAACTAACACAGATTAAACATCATAGTTATGCTTGACCCCAACCTGTTGCTAGGTGTGGCCTCAAAACCGCTTTTATTTCTAGTATATGCCCTTTGATAATAAAATAGCACAACCCTTCCAGTCATTAGCAATGCTTTTCAACAGCTGCTCTCACAGAGAGGTCCGGCATACCTCTGCAAGCATGCTTATGTTTTGCATTAGTACTTGTCCATAGAAACAGGGGAGATGCTATAGACATGCAGAAATCTTATACTTAACCACAGTGATGCCAACACAATCCGGTCACTCCTCACCCTGTTCATGTTAGAGAGAACTGTGGTTCCGAGTGTTCATGGTTCAATTATTAAAGAAAATGTCTCATTCCTTAAAAAAAAAAATTACAAAACAGGATATAAAGATTAATGTAAAGTGAAAGAATTCAAGAGTCTAAACTCACAGAAACTGGCATTAACTATTATTTTATTCTAGGAAAAAAAACAGACCATTTTCCTATAATGTGGTAAAATAGTCTAGCAACGCATCACCCGCGGATGGGAAAGAAACCCTGTGCTTTTGTTGGTACTAATATCATTAACTATGTAGAAATGTTTATAATTTTTAATGGGAAAAAAAGAAAGTAAAATAACACGAGCCCGGTTTATAAAGTCTACGTTATTAAAAAGATTGAGGGGCAGGGGAGACTGCTCAGCCTGTAAAGTGCTTCCCACGCAAGCCTGTGGACCTGAGTTCAGTCCCCAGAACCCACTTTTAAAAGTCTGACGTGGCGTCACCTGACGTGTCCCATGCTTCTAATCCAAACTCTGGGGAAATGGAGAAAGGTCACTCTCCAGATTGCTGGCTAGCCAGCCTATCCTACTTGGCAAGATCCAGGCCAATGAGAGACCCTGTCTCAAACGACAAGGGGAAATGACTCTTCGGGCTTCCACGTGACGTGTGGCACACATGTGCATCCCCCACCCCTACCCCCAGCCGCGCCATACTGTAAAGAGGCACAGTAAAACACTTTCTCTGAACACTGAGGTCATTTCCTGGTGGCGATGGTGGCTTTTTTCTACTCTTGATTACTACTCTTCGTTTTTACAGAGATTCAGCTCCCTTTGTTCAGGAGGGAGGTCTTATTCTAAGAACGCACAAATGGAAGAGTACCATTGACTTCTCTGTCAATAGACATGAAACAGAAAAAAAGTTAAAAAAGATGCTGCTTTGGGAAAGAATAAATTTGAGTGTTTTCTTTCTTTATTCCAGAGGTCAGGAAACTTTGTGCTGTGGGGGCCCACACACTGTTGCAGTCCTACTCTGCCATGGAGGGGTCACGTCATCTGTGAGTGAGTAGCCACGGTTCTGTGCCAGTAAAGTGTTGTATGTGGACAATGAAATCTGAATACCATAGGTTATAAAATCATTTCTTTTAACTCTTGCTCCACATTTAAAAAAACAAATAATCTACAGCTTGTGGGTTTTACACACCAAAACATGATCATTAGGCCAATTACTCTATGTTATTACCTTATGTTTTTAAAAAACTTAAATATAAAGATGCATTCATTACATTTTAGTTTTAATAAATTTAGTAATGTGCTGTGAGATGGTCTGTATGTCAAATGTGTTGTTTGTAAGGTTAAAATCTTCCTTTTTGAAAAAAAAGGGGGGTAAGTGCTGTGGGATGTTCTGTATGGCAAATGTGTTGCTGATTGGTCAATAAATAAAACACTGATTGGCCATTGGCTAGGCAGGAAGTGTAGGCGGGACAAGGAGGAGAATAGAGCTGGGAAGTGGAAGGCTGAGGCAGAGACACTGCCAGCTGCCATGATGAGAAACAGTATGTGAAGATGCCGGTAAGCCACGAGCCATGTGGCAAGGTATAGATTTATGGAAATGGATTAATTTAAGCTGTAAGAACAGTTAACAAGAAGCCTCCAATGGCCATATAGTTTGTAAGCAATATAAGTCTCTGTGTTTACTTGGTTGGGTCTGAGCAGCTGTGGGACTGGCGGGTGACAGAGATTTGTCCTGACTGTGGGCCAGGCAGGAAAACTCTACCTACAAATGGCGTCCAACGTGGTGGCAAGAGTTTCCACCTAAAAACTAAAAAAAAAATTCTAAAACGGAGCTAAAAACAGCTTCCTAATTGTCTCTCTCAAATGAGCGGCAGCTGCCGGTTTGAGCTACTGGTGGGTTCCTAGCGTGCGCGCTCGACCTGCTGTATGGCAGGAATGAGGCCTCTGCAAGTGGCGCATTAAGCTGCATGGTGGATTTAGACTTTGCTAGTACAAAATAAAAACAGAGGTTGCTGGGCTATACACTGCTTGGATAAAAGCATAGACCCACGATAGCTCCCAGAGCTGGCGGAAAATGTCCTACCGCCATGTTGGGAAGCTGAGGTGGGCGGAGCCAGCAGCCACAGCTGCTGCAGTTTAAAGCAACAGATTCACAATAAGACAGATTCAGATGTAATAGTTTACAATGTGTGTAAAATATACGTAGGCTTAAAAGAAACAAAAAAAGGTGATATATACAGTTATATAAACAAATACATAGTTTTAAAAAATAAAGTCTTTAAAGAGACAGTAAAATTAATATAAAAAATAAGCCACGTAAAGATGAATATTACACAGAGAATCTGGATTGTGTTGTCTTTGGGATTTTTAACTACAGAAAAACATTTGATTGTAAGAACTGTTAAATTATGCCAAAATGTATATTTTAAAGGTACCTTGACTTCAAAATTTAGATGTAAGGATATGTTGCTTTGGAAAGGAGGCTCTGCTTTTGTTTCCACAGAAAGCCAGAGGCTATGGATTTGTTCCAGATTAAGATACATCAGGTTTGACCAGCCAAGACCCCCTGAAAGGTCTCCGATGACACCATGGCCCAGATGATCCAACATCCAGAACCGTTTCAATGCAACTGGCTCAGATGATACACCCTCATGGACTACTCCATAATCCTAAAATATTCCTTGTGTCCCCATAAGATACAGCACCCCCCTCCAGCAGAAAGTATTAAGAGAAGCTATGCCCAAATTCCCAAATATACCAAGCTGACTTTGGAGATGTATAAAGGTTAAAACCTTCCTTTTTAAGAAAAGAAAAGGGGAAGTGCTGTGGGATGGTCTGTATGTCAAATGTGTTGCTGATTGGTCAATAAATAAATCACTGATTGGCCCATGGCCAGGCAGGAAGTATAGGCAGGACAAGGAGGAGAATAGAGCTGGGAAGTGGAAGGCTGAGGCAGAGAGACACTGCCAGCCGCCATGATGAGAAACAGCATGTGAAGATGCCGGTAAGCCATGAGCCATGTGGCAAGGAATAGATTTATGGAAATGGATTAATTTAAGCTGTAAGAATAGTTAGCAAGAAGCCTGCCACGGCCATACAGTTTGTAACCAATATAAGTCTCTATATTTATTTGGTCAGGTCTGAGTGGCTGTGGGACTGGCAGGTGAGAGAGATTTGTCCTGACTGTGGGCCAGGCAGGAAAACTTTAGCTACAGTAATGCCTTTTTTTTTTTTTTTTTTTTTTTTTTTGACAGAGTCTCTCTGTGTAACAGCCTGGCTGTCCTGGAACTTGGTAGATCAGGCTGGCCTCAAAGTCACAGACTCACAGAGATCTGCTTGTCTCTGCCTTCTGCATCACCACGCTGGGCACAATGTCAAAAACTGTAATGAATACATGTACTCGGGTCACTTTTATTATAAATTGGGTTCTGGTGCTTTGGGATTCTGAGTCTGTGGGGTCAAGGTCTACCAGAGGTCAGAGTTCAAGTCATGCTGAGGAAGGGGAAGGGAGTCCTTAGGAGCCACTGGCAGTTGAGGCATTCAAGGCTGCAGTGACCTGCTATGGTTCTACGGACTTCTTCCAGACTCCCCAGGACTTGTGTGTGAAGAAACCAGTCATTTCTCCTCTGGCCACCACAAGGTCAGAACTGGGGCATACACACCCCGCCCCCAGTATGACTCAGAAGGAACCCCACAAGGTTATCTCTCGGGGTTAGAGAGGATGCTGTTCCTACAGGAAGGGGTGTGCGGAAACAGAGGCCCCTTACTCGGCATGAGGACTTTTGGGGTCCTTCTGAGTACCCGCCGCTGTAAACTGCCCTGATTCTGGGCTGGGGGACGTAAGCTTAGACCCTGCTTGTTTGGTTGTTGTTTTTTTTTTTTTTTTTCAAGTGTAAACAGACTGTTTTGTTGAAGGTGTACTTGGTCCTGGAGACTGTTTTGTTACCGTCGCTTTAAAAAAACACAAAAGATTTTTCTGTAGGTGTCTTTAGCTGCTCACTGCCTTGTTCAGCAGCAAACCAAATAACCAAAACCCCATCTTGGCAAGACAGCACTAGCCCAAGAGAGAGGGGCGGTGGGTGTCTGAGCTAAGAGCACGGCTCTGGGACTGAAGGCCGTGGACTTACCAAGGAAGGTGGCGTTGTTCACATAATCAGCCAGTGAACCAATCACAAAGAACGTATCAAATTCTTTCAACATTCTAGATCTTTACAGCCCCCTGGTATACTTTATTTACTGTCCCTGCTTATGATTAGACCCACGTGACACGCTTGAGGGCTGAGAGGGGTCGGTAAAGTTCAATGTAACTTCACAGTGCACTTATTGAAGACTCCAAGTTCTGCTTATTAGAAGGGGACTTTACTTGAGTGACATTTTATTTATTTAAAGAAGTGTTTCTTATTAAACTATATTTTAAAAAAAATGAAAGCACCAGGTGGGGATGGTGCATGCCTTTAATCCCAGCACTAGAGAGCCAGAGGCAGGAAGATCTCTGAGTTTGAGACCAGCCTGATCTACAGAGGGAGTTCCAGGATAGCCAGGGCTATGAGAGAAACCCTGCCTTGGGGAAAAAAACAAAACAAAACAAACAAACAAAAAACATGTCTACAGACATATTTTGGTTGGTGGAGCAGGGTCCCACAGTGCAAAAGGACACCTTAAAAGGCCTTGAACACAATGACCAAGAGATCAAAACGATTCATTGCTGCTTCAGGGCTGCAAGGTTCCAGAAGGATCTGCATTTGAGGATCTCTGAAGGGAGTCCCTGACAGTCTCTAGACACCCCCTACAAAGCCATGGAGACAGCACCCAGTCAGGATATCTAGGCTGAGGTAAGTCCAACATCCTGGCGGACCAAATAATCACACGAGTTCTCCCTCAATGACAGATCTGTTCCTATGCCATGTTCCTTGCTAAACCAGCAAAGGTCACAGATAATCACACTGGAAGAATGTGTTCAGGTGCCCAGGTGCCTCAGAGTCCCAGTGCGGGTGGGGGTGGGGGGCAGGCTTGGGAGGAAACATGGACTGTTAAAGTGACCTTAAACTCTCTTGGGCTGAGCATAGTCAGATGACTGGTAGAGAGCCATACTCATCACTCCCTGTCAAGGAGGAAGTACGTTTCAACGATGAAACAATTCCATAGCTGTCTCTGAGGTTAAACTATTTTGTAAGCAGTTATTGCTGGAATCACAAATGGGAAAACTGTACTTTTTAGGCAGACACGGTGCTGGAGAGGTAGCCGAGAGTTCTACATCTGGATCAGCAGACAGCAGGGAGAGAATGACACTGGGCTTGGCTTGGGCACCTGAAACTCAAAGCCCGCCCCCAGTGACACACTTCCTCCAACAAGGCCACACCTACTCCAACAAAGCCGCCCCTCCTAATAGGGCCGCTCCCTACGAGCCTAGGGGAGCGTTTTCTTTCAACGCCCACAGCACCTTTATATTATTCTTCCAGTTTATTAAATGTACTGTTTTCTGGGATTTTGAAATTCCCAGAAATTCCTGGTAGAGGTGGTCAAGAAAAAAGATGTGTGTGTGTGTGTGTGTGTGTGTGTGTGTGTGTGTGTGTGTGTGTGTGTGAGAGAGAGAGAGAGAGAGAGAGAGAGAGAGAGAGAGAGAGAGAGAGAGAAGCATCTATGTTTACTCTGCTAACTTAACACAATGCCTAGAACATAGTTGGGACACAGTAAATATTTGCTTTAAGAAGCAAATAAAAAAACATGTAGGGCTGGAGAGATGGCTCAGAGGTTAAGAACACTGGGTGCTCTTCCAGAGGTCCTGAGTTCAATTCCCAGCAACCACATGGTGGCTCACAACCATCTGTAATGAGATCTGGTGCCCTCTTCTGGCCTGCAGTCATACATGCGGTATACATAATAAATAAATAAATCTTAAAAAACAAAACAAAACAAAACAAAACAAACCATGTAAATATATACATGAGACTATTAGGGGAAAAAAAAAATCTATTTTCCTGTTTTCCAGTGGGGCTTGCGGCAGTTGTTCTACTAAAGACCACAGAGCAATTTTCCCATGGTTCCTGGAAATCCGGAGTGATACGGAGCGTTTTCCCCAGAGCTCAAGTATTTTACCACACAAACCAGTGTGTCTTTCAATCTCCTAAAACAATTTTGCCGAAGTTTCAGGGGCCTCCCCTCCCCCAGGGGCTACAGCTAGAGATGACCTATAGTCCTTACTGGTGAGGGTGGTGGTTCCCTGCACACTGCTCCATCCTGTCATCCTCTAGACAGCCCGGCTTCTGCAGGAGTGTCCACGGTTACTGGAGAGCAGCAGGCACTTCCTGGCTGGCTTCTTTCAGACAAGGAACCTCTGTTTGCTTTGGGAACACACAAACCTCCATGTGTCCCTCTTGGGTGAGTTAGAAGCCCCGGCACTGGGACAGATCCTTTACGGACATATTTTTGAGCAATGGATTACTTTAAAAAGCAACACTGTTTACAGGATAATATTTAAGAAAATAAAACGGTCTGTCAGGAATTCCTTTCAAGTGGTAGAGAGTACACCAAGGTGCGTCCTTTCTAAATATAGCGCAGTGCCAGGTCGGGATGGAGAGCAGCGGAGTGGTTAGGGTCCTCTTCCTTTGCAGGTTGTGTTTATGCCTTCTGAATTCCTACGTATGCAGCTGAGGTACGAACTGGCTTGGCTCCAGTTTACAAAGAAAGAAACAAAAGTCATCACCATCCACAACAGCAAAACACGGAAAAAAGAGGAAAAGGAATGGCCCCGGTAAACGGAATGTGGTTGGTTTGCGCCCCGGGCTTAGCTTAAACAGATTCAAATCCCAGCCGTGAATCGGCTTTAGCTGGTCAGGGGTCAAATTGGGGTCTTTTGTGAGGGACCCCGTTCTGAGTAGCTGGAGGGCCTGGGAGGTGGAGGAAGACAGGAGAGACAGAACTGGAGGTTGCTATGGTCAGTTTTCGGAGCCTCTTTTTTTTTTTTTTTATTTTCCTGGTTTTATTTTTATATTATTTTACTTTGTTCACTGTTGCTGAATGGGAAACTGGAGAAAGGGGGTGAGAGGAGAAGACAGAGAAGGACAGGGAGGGAGGCAGGGAGAGGCTAGAAGGGAGAAGGCAGCGGCAACCATTAGGCTGGCTGGCCCTCGCGGTCCCACCCCCACCCCCACCCCACTAACCCCTGGCCTCTACTCTGACCCAGAGACAGGAGACAAAAGAGCGCTTCTTGGGGAGAGGACACTAACTGGCAGTGGCTTGCTAGCACTCAGGACCTTCTCTAAACAATTCACTAATCAGAAGTGACTGGGGCCCTGAAGAGAATACAGGCCGGCCTGGGTTCCGCCCTCCATGCTAATGACGAAGGCACTGAAGTGGATAATTAAGGGCAGCGAGGTGAATAATTCCAAACGGATCATTGAAAGGTAATGAAATGCATTAGGGGTGGGGGGGGTGGGGGAGATGACAAATTTTTGTATCCGACTTGGCCGTTTTCTGATGAACTGGTTTTGCCCGACTTTGCCTCTTCTGACCAAGGACAGGGGAAACCCTGACTTGGGGAAGAACCAGCTTGGGAAGGCTGGGGTGGCAGAGAGGAGGAGCGGGTCTTAGATTAAGAATGTTTAGGAAGCTTGCATAACCCCCAGAGAGAGACACCTGGGACAAAATCTTCACTGAAACAAACAAACAAACAACAACAAAGCCTGCAAGGGAATGGAGAAAAGGAACACAACTTGTCAGTTACCAACACTATCTATGTGGAGAGAGACTGGAAGGAAATCCATCATTGTGAAGGTTAATAATCATCCGGGGACTGTAGGTTTCATTTATTCTCTTCTCTGCTAAATGTTCTTATGTTAATTTGAATGATGCATACATTCAAGTCCTGAGCACGGTTTATGTAGTCCTGGGGATCAAACCCAGGGTTTTGTGCAAGCTAGGCAAGCATTCTACCAACTGAGTGATATCCCTAGCCTTCCCTTTTCACGACAGAAAAGCATGAACACTAAAAAAGAACTTGGGGCGATGTAATTTTTGCCCAGGATAGACAGAAGAGAACTGACCTAACTCTACCTGCTCCATGGACATGGACCAGCGGGGAGTCTGGGCAGACTACCCTTTGCTGCAGAAGATCTTAGAAGTCCCAGCAGCCCTCTCAAATGCAAATAGTTTCTGTACAAAATCCTCACTATAACTGAATCTCCTTGGTTCATCTTTTCAGAAAGCTTAAGAGAGAATTTCAGAGACAGCTTTTGGGTCACTGTGTTCTCCTTAGGGTACCATCAGCTTCTACTCGTGTTAGTCCATTTTGTTTTGCTAGAATAAAATACTCAAAGCTGGGTAATTTTATAAAGAAAAATTTTTTCACTTAGCTCATACTTCTGGAGTTTTAAGGGTATGGAACTGACGTCTGCTCAGCCCTGGTGAGGTAAGGACTTGCTGAGCCAATGGTGAATGGTGCATGGTGCATGACCATGTGCGTGTGCACTGCACGTGCGCGTGAGTGTGCATGTGTGTGTGTGTGTGTGTGTGTGTGTGTGTGTGTGTGTGTGTGAGAGAGAGAGAGAGAGAGAGAGAGAGAGAGAAATCACACTGCCACACAGGAAGTTGAACAATCTATATTTTGTGAAGATTATTATGTAATGAAGTAATCTGCCACCTCAAAATATTTAAGCCTCAGAAGTCACACAGTGGGACAGATCTCACTCAAGAGGTTTATTGGAGGAGGAGGGGGGAATGCAGAGTATTCTGCCTCTGAGCAAGAGTGGAAGGGAAAAGAGGGTGGGGAGAGAAGGCACTTGTTTTTTTATAAGGGGATATAGCACTTGCACATGGGGAGGATACACAACTCATGGTGACAGTGGGAATGTGTCTTGTCAAAAAAAATTAGACCTTACCACCCAGGGATGGGCGCCCTGAGTATGCGCTTTAGCGGCTGCCCAGCTCCTCATTCACAAATCCGAAAAACTAACTTTGGGGTCACCTACCGCTATCTTCTTCCCCCACAACCCTCCCACCTCCAGGCATACAAACTCTAACCCCTCTCAGGTTCTTCCTCTCAGGTGGCACCGGTAGAAGATGTCTTGATACTAGCTGTCATATCTTGGCAGCTGGTGATAACAAGTCCTGTTGTTGCTGGGTTACTGAAGGTGAGCTTAGGGGGTGGGTTTTTCCAACATTCCTCCCTCTTATTTATTGTAAAAGGTGAGGAAATGTTCAGGCATGACTGATGAGGTGGGGATGAGGGCACTATGTTCTTTAGACTGCTTCCTGTTGTCTGGGGACATCTGTAGTCGGGAGTTTTTCTGTGTCCTGCCTGGTCCTGCAGCCGTTCAGACCCAAATAAACACACAGAGGCTCATATTAATTACCAATTGCATGGGCTATGGCAGGCTTCTTGCTAGCTAACTCTTATAACTTAAATTAACCCATTTCTATTCATCTGTTTTGCTATGTGTTCGTGGCTTACCGGTCTGTTGGCATGTTGTTCCCTGGGCAGCAAGCTGGTGTCTCTGCCTCTCCTTTCTCTTCCTGTCTATCTGCTTGGATTTCCGTCTGCCTCTAAGCTGCCTTGCCATAGACCAAAGTAGCTTTATTTATCAACCAATCAGAGCAACACACATTCACAGCATACAGAAAGACATCCCACAACACTTCCCCTTTTCTATCTAATAAAAAAGGAAGGTTTTAACTTTAACATAATAAGATTACATATAATAGAACAGTTATCAAGCTGGAATTACAATATCTAGTCCATTTGTATTTGGCAAAATTAAAGAAAATATTCTATCTATCCTGTATTTATGAGTCTAAAGTTTCATATCTAATTTATCTTTTATCATAACCAAGGAAAATTATAACTATTTAGTCTTCAACTACATTAAAGACCCAAGAAGGATTTAATATTACCTAAGTACACAGGAAATGCATTATAAGCAACTTCCAAAATTCTGAAAATGACAGAGATAGCTACCTGCCTGAACAGTCATCCAAAGTTCCTCTGTGATAATGGGGCATCCATCTTCAGCCAATAGGCCTAGAGTTTTTTGGTCACTTCTCCCTGTGTCCTGTAGAATATTTGGTAGTCTCCTCTTTGAAGCAGGAACCTGAAGAACCATTTTGTCTTGCAAAGATGATATCTATAAAATCATCCCTTTTCTTCTTTAGAAAGAGATTGCATTAATAATAATCTGCTTTAAAAAAATATTTATAAACAATATTTTGGGAATTTGGGCATAGCTTCTCATACTACTTCCTGCTGATAGGGATGGATGTTGGAACATCTGGAGACCTCTCAGGGGGTCTTCACTGATCAAATCATATTAGCCTGGATGCAATCCACAGGCTCTCTTCCTCTGTGGAAACAAAAGCAGAACATCTTTCCCAAAGCAGCACATATCCTTAGATACAAATTCTGAAGTCAAGATAGCTTTAAAATATATATATATATATATATATATATATATATATATATATATATATGTTTAATTCAGCAACCTTTGCAGTCAAATGTCTTTCTGCAGTTAAAAATACCAAAGACAATATAATCCAGATTCTCTGTGTAATTTCCATCTTATGTGGCTTATTTTTCATATTACTTTTACTGTCTCTTTAAAGACTTTATTTTTTAAAACTATTTATTTCTTTATATAACTGTCTATATTAATTTTCCTCTCTCTTCCAAGCCTATGTACGTTTTTACGCACACCGTAAACTGTTTAGAGGTTTATTCCATCTGAATCTGTCTTATTGTGAATCTATAATCCTTCTGTGACCAGGAGAGATTTTAAGCTCCTAAACTGCGTTTTTAGGACTGAAGCGGCAGCCTTGGCTGCTGACTCCGCCCACCTCAGCTCTTCAACATGGCGGGGGTACCCAGGAGAGTCATGCTTACCCTGCCAACTCTGGGTTCCATGCTGCCATCAGGGAGCATGCAGCTGGCCCATAAACCCTTTTTGCATGAGTAAAAGCTAAATCCACCATGCAGTACACTGCATGGCTTGGAGACACCTCTGTGTACCGTGGCAGGATTCTGCCATACTGTAGCTCAAGTCAGCATGCCACGGTGTCTCTGCACCTTGGCATCTCTATATCTCAGCTCACATGAGACATGAAGTAGAAAGCTGCTCTTAGCTCAGTTTTAGAAATTCTTTTTAAGTTCTCTCAAGGTTTTTTTTTTTTTTTTTTTTTTTTTTTTTGGTTTTTCGAGACAGGGTTTCTCTGTGTAGCTTTGCGCCTTTCCTGGAACTCACTTGGTAGTCCAGGCTGGCCTCGAACTTACAGAGATCCACCTGGCTCTGCCTCCCGAGTGCTGGGATTAAAGGCGTGAGCCACCACCGCCCGGCTAGTTCTCTCAAGTTTTAGATGGGAAGTAGAGCCAACACGTTGGGCAGCCAAACGTAGTTGGAAGGTTTCTCCAATTCCACCAAGGCACCTCAGTCCCATGGCCCGCTGATACAATAATCATATAATCAATAATAATATAAACTCAGAAGCTTATATTAATTATAACTGCTTGGCCATTAGCTCATGCTTATTACTAACTAGCTCTTACGTTTAAATTAACCCATAATTCTTATCTATGTTTAGCCATGTGGCTTGGTACCTTCTCTCAGTTCTGGCTTGTCATCTTGCTTCCTCTGTGTCTAGCTGACTCAGCCCTTCCTCTTCTCAGAATTCTCCTCGTCTGCTTGCCCTGCCTATACTTCCTGTCTGGCTACTGACCAATCAGCATTTTATTTATCAACCAATCGGAGCAACACGTATTCACAGCGTACAGAAAGATATCCCACAGCAGGCACCGACATCTTCAGGGCACTGTAGAGCCTCACCATTAGGGCATATTCAGAGGTCATGGGTCTCCAGCTCTGTGGCTCGGGGTTGGTCGTCCTGTGACAATAACTGATTAGTTGTTTGATTAGAGATTTTTTTTTTTTGAATTTGGCATTGGAGAAACATAGAGAAGAAATTGAGAAAGTAGGGTATGATTAGTAAAAGCTGGAAAATTAGAAGGAGAGGAGTCAGGAAGGGAAGTATCTGCTTCCATTTGGGATTCTCAAAGGCCCAGGGGCTGGAGGAATTGAGTTGCTCATAACGTTTTGGAGGTCTGTTTGAAGTTGTTGGATTTTGTTTTTTACTATACCCAATTAGTTGACATAGAGGCAGCCTTCCTCATGGAGGAAGAGACAAAGGCCTCCTTTTTCAGCTGTAAGAAGATCTAGTCCCCGTAGGTTTTAGAATACCACCACAGCGAAGGGGTCAGTTGGTCCTTGAAGGGTGAGCATGGTTTGGGCCACTGCAAGAGGTCCTTGATGAACTGGGAAGAAAATTGATGAGACAAAATCAGGGAGGTGGTCAGTCCTGCTGTCCAGGTGACAGACAAGTCAGGGGGGTGGTCAGTCCTGCTGTCCAGGTGACAGTCAGAGTCGGGGGGGTGGCCAGTCCTGCTGTCCAGGTGACAAAGTCAGGGGGTGGTCAGTCCTGCTGTCCAGGTGAGACACACCTCAGTTCTTCCCACAACAGCCACAAGGGGCAAGAGTGGAATCGCCCTTTGATTGTGGCTATTGAGTCCACGGCAGGAATCAATAGGGGCTCTTCTCCATATATCGCCCCCAACTTGGGGAAGAGACATGCTAGTGTGCAAACCCCTGACCAACTAGCCAGTGGGCAATGAGAGACTTGAGTACCACAAAGAACTGAGGTGTTGCAGACTGGAAGGCACTGGGGCCGAAGAGGCGTGTCAAGGCTTAAAGTTTTGCCATCTAAGAGATTAACGCCCCTACAAGATGTGTCCTGTACACCTTAAAGTAGTTTGCCATGCCAAAGAGGGTGGTATGAAGAAAGTAGGGAGTCTTGGCATTTCTACCAGTGCCGTCTGGAGAGGAAGAACTGGAGAGGGAGGTGGAGTTTGTATGCCTGGATACATTAAGAGGTGGGAGGGTTGTTGGGGAGGAAGATAGCGGTAGGTGACCCCAAAGTTAGTTTTTCAGACTCATGAATGAGGAGCTGGGCAGCCGCTAAAGCACATGTGCAGAGCGCCCATCCCTGGGTGTCAAGGTCCAACTTTTTTTGACACGTATGCCACAGGTACCAAAGAAGGTCCCAGTTGCTGGCCTAGGACCCCAAAGGCATGTTTCCTTTTCTGTTACACAGAGGGAGAAGAGATGGGTCAGGTCTGGGAGGTGGAGTGCCAGGGCCTGGAGGAGAGCCTGTTGGAGCTTCTGAAAGAGCTTGGTGATGGGTATGAGAAGGTGTTCATAGGAGCCAAGGGTTGCTTCATAAAGTGGGCAGACAAGGAGGGAGAAGGAGAGGATCTGGGAACATAAGAAGCCAGCTAGTCCTAGGAAGGACAAAAATGTCCTCTTTGACAGAGGGACTGGGGGAGATGGATTAGATATTTTCTATCCAAGGTAATGGCTTTGTGGGTTGGGGTCATGGTTAGTCCCAAGTAGGTAACCCGAGGGGTAGACAGTTGGACCTTAGATGGTGAGGCTCTACAGCCCTGCCTGGACAAGAAATTTAGAAGAGCGGAGGTGTCCGTTTGCTAACTTGTAGGGATGGACTGCAGAGCAGGTCATCTCCACACTCTATGAGTGTAGATTTGGGGAGAGACAAAGAGAGTAGATTGGAGGCCAGGACCTACCAAACAGGTGTGGGTTGTCCTGGAAGCCCTGGGGTAGGACAGTCCAGGTGAGTGAGGTAGAGAGGTGGGTGTCAGGGTCAGTCCAGGTGAAAGCAAAAAGGTTTTGTGACTGGGTGTGGAGGGGGATAGAGAAGAAGGCATTCTTGAGGTCCAGGATTGAGAAATAGGAGGCATTTTCTGACCCGCCCCTTGGGGACCCGCCTGGTGTCCTCCTGACGCCATCCTACGTCCCCTTTAAGAAGAAAACTCCTCCTCCTTTACCCTCTCTTCCACCCTCCCTCCCTTCCCCACCATGAGGTGCGCATAACCCAGCTTTCCCCCTTCTCTCTTCCTCTCTCCTTCTTCCCCCGTCTTTCTCTCTATTTTTCTGATAAACTCTCCCCACAGGGATGCAGTGCCCAGGGTGGGAGTGACTGTGCACTGTCCACCCTGGCAGCCAGCTGCCGCATCTGCCAGGCATGTTTCCGTCACCTGCGGGACTCCTTGGCCCTGGACAGCCAGGGCCTCCTGCGTGCCCTGTGATGACAGGAGGTCCCTGAGGGAAGAGTGGACAGGAGTGTGTAAAGGTTAGCCATGACAGGGCAGAATTGAGGAGCTGGAGCTCTTGGACCAGGTGGTGGGTCCCGCTGGGCGTTTTAACTGTGAGTGTTGGGATGCTAAAGGAGGAAGGTGGGGGGTGAAGTAGTTTTTTCTTCTTAGGAGGTCAGAGATGATAGGCTTAAGTCCCCTGAAGCTCTGGAGGGAGAATGAGTACTGGGCTTAGGGGATGTACTGGATAGGGTCCTGTAATTGGATGATGACAGGGGAATGGTGTTTGACAACAGAGGGGTCTTGGACATCCCAGACTTGGGGGGGTCCACCTGGGAGGCTGGCAAAGAAAAAGATGTGTTGGAATCAGTAGGTTGGGTGGCTAGAAGAGGGAGGAGAGGGGCTGCTGGTGAGCTTGGAGGTCAGGCAAATGGGGGGGGGGCAAAGGAAATAGAGGCTCCCACTTTGGCTAGAAAACCCTAATAGTTTTTCCGTAACATGATAATAGGTTTCTCCTCCGATGCAGTAAGCCAGCTCAAGCCGAACTGGAAAAGCGAAAGAACAGGTTTATTTGAGCAAAGCAACTCCCAGGTGAGTCCTCCAGTCCCAGAGATTGGGGCCAGAGAAGTCATGCACCTGAATTCAGCAGGGATCTTATATACCCTGTAGGTGAGGGGTGAGGGGTGATGATGTGTCTTCCACAAGCTGGGTTTGTGCCCAAGTATGGTCAAAAGCTGACTTTAAAAAAAAAAAAAAACATTTATTAATTATATATATAGTGTTCTGCCTACATGCCGGAAGAAGGCATTACAGATCGAATTACAGATGGTTGTGAACCACCATGTGGTTACTGGGAATTGAACTCAGGACCTCTGGGAGGGCAGCCAGTGCTCTTAACCTCTGAGCCATCTTTCCAGCCCCCAAAGCAGACTGCTCTAGGTGGGGTCTTGAGCTACTAGCAGCTTCAGGGGAGGAGCTGCCACAATTGCCAAGAATGTGGACCTGGGCTTTTCGGCATCTTTTCTTTGTTGGAGGTTCTCTGAGAGGGTGGGATTTGGAGCGAGAGGGATGGGGCTTTCTAGATCAAGCAAGAGTGAGCTGGAGGTTTCAGCTGAACATCCCGACCTTTTGGGGTATACAGGTGCTGAGTCAAATCTGGCTCCTTCCTGTTGGCATGGGACGAAGTGGGGAGGGGGAATCGGGAGTCAGTGGGCTCATGCTCAGTGGGAGTTATGGGTGAAGAAGCATTCAGTTCACAATCTGTTCCAGGAGGAAGCGGTTCTCCACTGGGGGGAAAAATGGATTATTACCACCAGTCCTATGAGCGGGGCTAACCATGGGAAGAGTGAAGATTACCAGAAAGGATGGGACAGAGGTGTGCCCTGGTTGTATTGGTGAAGTTCTTCAGACAGTTTCTGGAGCGACTCAATATTAGTTTCCACAAGGCCAGATTTGTTGATACAGTAGCAGCACTCTTTTTCCCAGGAACATGCTGGTATCTGTAAAACAGCTGGAATAGATTTATGCCTTGGTGTCATAGCAAAGACTATGGCTTTGGGTTAAAAGGCATGAGCATTTTGAAGGAAAAAAATATAGCTGAGGAGACAAATGTGAATGAGTGGATAGGCTTGACTATCACAGCTCCTCACTGGGACATTCTGGAAAACCGGAGGGTGAGGGTCCCAGTTGCTGGACAGACCATTCATCCTGGGTAGGTGCCCCCTTGATCCTGGAGAAGTGGTACCAGCACTGATATCCCAGGAGCTTGGCAGCTGAAGGGGTGCTGAGGATCACAGTGTAAGGTCCTGTCCACTGGAGCTCTAGAGACTTAGGAGATAACTGCTTGAGGAGCCCCCAGTCCCCAGGGGAGAGTAGGGTGGGCTCAGGAGCAGTTGGGTCTGTTGGCATGAGGGCAGGGAGATAACTGTCAGCATGTGAATGGAGAAGGAACCATAGGAGGGAAAGGTAGGGTAGGTACCCAGCCAGTGGAGAGGTCTGGGTTGTGAGGTAGTGGTGGTTCAGGAGGAACAGTCTCCTGTAAAGGAGCTCAAAAGGGCTCAGGCCTGTAGGAGATCATGGAGTGGCCTGCCTGGAGGTGGGTAAGGGCAATGGGGAGGAGGGAGAACCATGACAACCTGAGTTCAATAGAGAGCTTGGTGAGTCGTTGTTTGAGTCTGTTGGCTCTCTCAACCTTTCCCAAGGATTGTGGGTGGTGGGGCATGTGGAGTTTCCAGGAGATGTTGAGAGCTTCCAACATTAGCTCCATGACCCTGGAAGTGAAGGCTGGCCTACTGTCCATTTGGATGGTCTGTGGCAAGCAGATGATGTGTTCCAGGAGTACCTGAGCCACCACATCTGCTGTTTCCCTGGAGGTGGAAAATGCCTCTATCCATCCTGTAAAGTTGTCAACAAGAGGAGACAGCGGAGCTTTTTATGAGTGGGCATGTGGGTAAAGTCAACCTGCCAGTCCTTGCCCAGTTAATGTCCTTGGAGCCGGTGCAAGAGTTGGCGTATCTGAAGGGACCCCTGCAGGTTGGCCTCAGCACACGCCTGGCAGGAGGAGTGAATCTGTAAAATACGAGCTCGAAGATGGGTGGGATCAAAGAGGGGCTCTAAGAAGTGGAACAAAGCCTTGGGGTCTTTATGTAAGGTTTGGTGGATGTCTGAAATGATGGAGCGTGCCTGGTCCTGGGGGAGGATGAGGCAGTTATATAAGTAGCACCATCCATCTTTTGTCCGTGCGGCCCCTTTATTCAGGAGTTTGTCCCTCTTTTCCGGTTGGTAACAGAGCTGATAGGAGGATGTCAAAAACAAAATATGTCATGTAGATCCAGTGGACCTGGAGGCCCATCCTTGGGCTACTGAGTGAGCCTTGGCATTGCCTAAGGCCACTGGGTCTTTGGAGGGCTGATGTCCCCAGGAGTGGATGATGATTACCTCTTCAGGGAGATGTAGGGCCTACAAGAGCTTGGCTATAAGGAGTCTGTTGACAATGGGAGTGCCCTTGGTAGTGAGGAGGCCCCTTTCCTTCCAAAGGACAGAATGGGGATGGGCCATTAAAAAGGCATATTTAGAGTCAGTGTAGATGTTAGCCTATATATCCTTAGCTATTTGGAATCAAGGCAATTAATTCAGCCTTTTGTGAAGAGATCTCCACTGGCTTATGGGTTGCTTCAACCATTTTAGTAGAAGTGACCACTGCATAAGCCTCCTGGTGGTTTCCTGATCTGCCTAGAAGAGCTTCCATCAACAAAGAGGGTGAGTTGGGGGAGCTCTGTGAGGGGTTGGTCTTGGAGACCAGGCTGGGGTGAGCAGAAGGCCTCCACAGCCTCTGGGCAGAGTGGTAGGGGCTATCAGAGGAGGAAGGGACAGGGAGGAAGGTTGAAGGGACCTGTGAGGCAATTGAGAGAAGAAGATGGGAGTCAGAAGAGAGTGTGGGGGCCAAGGAGAGGGTGGCCCCAAAGCGGCTGAGTAAAGGTACTGGACAAATGGTTATGATTAGAAAAGAGTGTGAGAAGAATCGTCCTGCAAGAATGTAGGGAAGTGGCAGGGTCTTAGGCGTGACATCCACCCTGTGACAGAAATTGTGAGGGAACTGTGGGACCTGAGTGAGAGGTAAAGACAGAAAAGGTAGCCCCCATGTCCACCAGGAAGGTGATGGACTTACCTGCTACCTGGAGTGATACCCTGGGGTGGAAGTCTCTGAGTCTGGCTGCGGTAGGTTCTCTGCCAGGCTAAGGAGCTAGAAGGCTGGAAGGGTCTCAGATGTCTGTGCTGGTGGGTTTGGACCTCCATGGCGTGGCATAGAGGTCAAGTCCACCTGGGGACATTTCGACTTCCAGTGGCCAGGCTGCCAGCAGACAGGGCATGGCCTTGTTGGCAGCCAAGGGTTGGGGCAGCATCAGGACCAATGGCCTTCCTGGCTGCATTTGAAGCAGGCCCCTGGTGGAGTTGACTTTGGCTGGACTCCTGCAGGGTGGAGTCTTGTGGACTTCCCTTGTTCTCTTTGAAGGGTGCTGAATGCCTCAGAGCAGCTGCCACGGCATGAGCTTGGAGCATAACCTTCTGTTGCAGTCCAACCCACTGGGAAGACTCAGCTGTCTCCTCTTGGGCGTTAAAACCTTAAAAGTCATTTTCACCAATTTCTGTACTGGGGCTTGGGGGTTGTCCTCGGCCTCTTTAGTTTCTTTCTAATATCTGGCGATGATTGAGAAAGGAGATGGGTAGCCAGGACTGTGGCTTATGCTAGGGAGGCTGGATCAAGGTGGGTAGAGCAGGCGAGTAGGACCCCAGCATGGCAGGGTGGAAGAGCAGACAGAAATAAACAGGGAGAAAGGATCTGTTGCGGGTGGAGTGGGCAGGTCGGATCCCAGCATGGCCAGACCAAATGCCAAATGCCAGGAAAGTCTCATAACACGAATCTTAAAAGGTCTTTTTTTTTTTTTTTTTGGTTTTTCGAGACAGGGTTTCTCTGTGTAGCTTTGCGCCTTTCCTGGTACTCGCTTTGGAGACCAGGCTGGCCTCGAACTCACAGAGATCCGCCTGGCTCTGCCTCCCGAGTGCTGGGATTAAAGGCGTGCGCCACCACCGCCCGGCCAAAGGTCTTTTTAATAAAAAACAAAACCAAACCAAACCCGGAGCCAGATATTGGGGTGAAAGCTGAAAGACCAGAGCAAGCCAGTCACAAGTTCTTACCTCTATGAAATCCTCAGTCTCAAAAGAGTGAGTTCCTGTTTCCTCAGGCCTTATATACCTTTCTCTGCCCAGACATCACTTCCTGGAATTAAAGGCATGTATGCTTCCTAAGCAAAGGCATGAGATCTCAAGTGCTGGGATTAAAGGTGTGGGCCACCACTGCCTGACTCTGTTTCCAGTGTGGCCTTGAACTCACAGAGATCTCCAGAGTGATAGGTTTAAGGGTGTGTGCCACCACTGTCTGGACTCTATGTCTAATCTAGTGGCTGGCTCTGTCCTCTGATCCCCAGATAAGTTTTCTTGGGGGTACACAATATATCACCACAAAGTCTAGTGAGTAAAAAGGGCAAAGTGGGTACCTTTTGGTGGGCCCTGCCAATGTATGCCACGAAGAGAACACACCAACAAAATTTAGTGCAAGAGGTTTATTGGGGGATGAGGAGAGGGAAAGGCCATCTCAGGGTGGAGACATGAGAGAGGCAGGCAGGCAGACAAATAGAGCAGGGAAGAGACAAGAGGAAGAAGAGAAGTGGGGTGCCAGTGACTCAGGCAGCCCAGTCGGGGTGCAGAGCTCAGGGTCAGTCCCTGGGTGAAAAGGCCCCTGGTGCTGCCACAACCCCGGCCAACAAAACCTGGGCTGCTGAGCACTGGCTCCAGAGGGAGGGGCGGGAGTGCAGAGTTCAAAAGGGGTATTAAGGCCAGATTTGACCTCAAAGGTGGATAAGTTTAAGCTGAGTGCTAGATGTAGGTATCTGAGGTTCTCCAAAAGGCATCCCAAGTGGGGAGATTGATGGTACAGTCAAGGATGCAGCTTCCATGGGTGAGATAGAGAAGAAGGTCCAATGCCTGAATGTCTGAGGTTGCTCAAGGACCTAGGGAGGACTGAAGGAAGCAGTCATAAATCCAACAGTGGATCGTCACCCACAGTTCAAGGGCCAAGGCTAAAAGCACGAGGAGACACGGATGGATGCCTGGTACCAGGACTTTGGAATGAGGCCAGAGGGCAAAAGCCATGCTAAAAAAAAAAAAATGAAGCCTCACCCATTTGGTCAGTGGTGGGGGTTGGCAAAGAGGGTCAACTATAGCCTTAAAGACCAGGGGTGGGGGTACCTCCACCTCCCAGAATACCAGGGGGGTGCTGGACACTCAAACGTCATTTCCTTGGATTCAGAGAAGTGTTTATGCTGACCGAGGGGGGGAACTGACAAATTACCTGTGTTGGGTAGGGTGTCCAGCGATTAGTCAACCAGAAAGTGAGGCTGTTGCAGGTGGACCAGGATTGGGTCCAGGTGTATGGCTTCGACCCATGAGAGGGGAGCGCACATGTACCAGGAGAGCCTAACAGGTCACAGCACCAATGTAATGATTTCAGCCTCAGAGGGCACCTTGGCAGATTGAAGCCAAGGAACACCACAGAGTTACGGGGGGTTGGGGGGATGCAGAGGCTGCCTCTGGCAAGAGTTGTAGGGAAAAGAGGGGAGATAAGGCATTTGCTTTTTATAAGGGGGTACAGTGCTCGAGCATAGGGAATAACACGGTCGTGGTGACAGTGGGAAGGTGTTGCATGCTGGTGCCTGGTGATGACGTGGCCTGCTGTTGCTAGGTTACTTGAAGGTGAGCCCAGGGGTGGGGTTTTCCGACACAGTTACCTTAGAAGGCCTAGGGAACTCTGAGTTCTTCATTTTTGCCACATGTGGACCCAGTACACAGGTGACAGGTAGACCCTTGCCAAATGCTGTATCTCCTAGCATCTAGACCTGGGACTTCCTAGTTATTACAGCTATGAAAAATAAGGAGCTGTTTATAAGCACTCCATCTGTGGTACTTTGTACGGAAACCTGAAGACAAAATCCTGAGCGTTCCTTGGTTGCTTGCTCTCAGGATGTTGTTATGTTGCTATTGATACTAAATCTGCCATGTTTGCTGCTGGTGGCCATGGCTTTGTTAAGATCAGGGTTTTGTCTTATTTTTTGTTTTTTTTTGTTTTTTTTTGTTTTTTGTTTTTTTTTTGTCTGTTGCTACAGTGTTGAGGTCTCTCTACAGAGTTGAATTTCTGATGCTATTTTACTATAATCTTGATACTGCCCAGGCTTTTAAGACTTGACTTAGTATTTATCATACACACTTGCTTTCTTGTATTCCCATTTCAGGGTTCTATATGCTGTAACCTAAAAGGAGAGGACATCAATACTTTTTTTTTTTTTTATAAAGTTAAGAGAATTAAATGAAAGGTGTCTAAATTGATGACCTTGCCACGCCTGTGCTCAGCACAGTCCTGGGCATGTCAGGCAGGGGCACGCCAGTTACATTACAAAATCTAAGAAGGCTTATACCCAGAGCCATTCTGAGCATTTTTTATGTGTAGGCGGCTACTCCTGACTCTAGACCAGTGATGATTGGACTGGCGGAGGGCACTGGGCTTGAGAACAACCATTCTATTGGCTACTGACCTGCCTATAACGTCGTATCATACCTGTGTCTACCCATGTGGAACGATCCGTGGCCAGGTTAGTCAGGTTCCTCTTCTTAGGAGCTGCTTGGAGCAGTGGTTCTCAACCTGTGGGTCGTGACCCACACAGGGGTCACTACTGGGGAAGAAAAGTCATGGATGGGCAAACACTGAAAGATGTGCCCCCTGGTGCAACGGTGGTGTGAAAGTTATAGGTGTAACCAACTGCTCCCGCATGGATATGAGGCCCGCGTCACAGGAGGGAATTCATGCCTATCCAGTAAACCGGGCGAGAAGCCCAAGACTCTGGAGTCCTAGTCCCTGTGGAGGAACTACTAAATTATCAAACTGTCTTCTGCTTATGATGCTTCTGCCTACAGATGAGTCCGGCTCTCAACTGTGGCTGGAGAACCTCCGCGAGAGTTAATGCAGAGACTCATAACTGATCCAAGTGTTGAGAATGAGTGGTTACTCAATGCTCAGCCCGAAGTAGGACATCTGTATCGGACCCTGCTCTAAGACTCAGGGAACTTCATGGAAGAGGGGAGTAGAAAGAATGTTGGAGCTGGAGGCCGGGGAGGAGCGCTGTCAAACGCTGTCTTCTGGGCCTGACCCGGCCATTGCAGCCATGGATTCACTGCAGCAATTGTTAATGGCAAGAGAGCAATCTAACAGGACAACCTTCTAGAAGGAAGCACTAGTTACACTTAGTGGCTGGTTCTTGTAAAGAAGGGGGAGGATGGGAAGTGGGGTGGGGGGAACTTCCTGGAGGGTGCCCAGGAGAGTGGGAGGGTGGGTCTGATTAAGATACATTGTAAATGTGTGTGAAATTGTCAAAGAATAAATAAAAGATACTGTGAAAAAAAAAAACCACAGGAGTGTAACAGAGGAGGGCCTGGGACAAGTGGCAGGCAAGTCTACTAGAGGAGATTAAATGAAAAGGGAACATATACCGGTCTTGACTAGTAAAATAAATAAGGTTATAATGCTGCCCCTACTACACGGGGTGGTGGCCCCATTTAATGTCAGTTCAGCTAGTAAAGAAAACTTGGAGACAATAAATTCGCTTTATATTAGCTCTTTTAGGAGACAAAAATAAGACACCGTCATGTAATGAAAGATGACCTGATTTCATGTCTCCCTGACTCCAAGCCATACAGGTGGAAAAATCGTTTTGTCTCCTGGAAAAAAAAAAATGAATGAGGGAGCTGGGTGGTGGCTTAGTCGATGACGTGCTGACATGAAGCGTGAGTATTAAAAGAAGAACAACAAAAGCTGGGTGAGGCAATCTGTGCCCGTAATTCTGGTGCTGGGGAGGCAGCGACAGGTGGATCCCTGGGGCTCATTGGCCAGCCAGTGTCACTGAATCGTTGAGCTCCAGGTTTAGTGAGACACCCTGTGTCAAAATAATAATAATAATAATAGGAATAACTAATGTTGATCAGTGACTTCCACACACATCTGTATACACATACAGCTGCACGTGCATGTACGTATACACACACACACACACACACACACACACACACACACACACACACACAGCCCTAGATTTGGGGGTTGCAACTCAATGATCGAGAGCTTGTCTGGCATGCACAGGGTTTAGGTTCAGTTACCAGAATCGCAAAAAAGCAAAGCAAAACAAAACCAACATGAGTCTCTACAGGTACGGAGTTTAAATCAAGCCTCCTCACAGACATTTCTCCAGTTCTCCCCAGTTTTGAAAATAGAACCTTCTAACCTGTGAGAATTAGCTGAAATCCAAAGGTTTTAGTCCGAAACATGTTTTTCTAGCTTTTATTGCATTTGTAACACAGGGAAGCCCCCAAGTTACAAATCAAACTCACAGAATTAATCATTTTTGATAGTAACAATCCAAGTCTGTTCTCCTTGGGGGACTTTGTAGACCTTGTAATTTCATCTACGATAAAAACTTGAACAGCTTCCAAAAACAAGCCAGGATTCATAGAACAGCAATACTCACCCCCACCTCACCCCTGTGTGTGTGTGTGTGTGTGTGTGTGTGTGTGTGTGTGTGTGTGTGTGTGTGTGTGTGTTTTACTGGTGCCTTCAGGGCAAGACCCTACCCAGCTACATTACCAATTTGTGAACTGGTATCAGTTCTACCATTCTGTGTTGGTAGCTGGCCATTTACAAACCACCCCAGATTCCAGAGAGGAGGAAATTGTTTCGGAATAATCTTTTTGTACAGTGTGAAGATGGGTCACTCTGATTGGTTTAATAAAAAGCTGAATGGCCAGTAGCTAGGCAGGATTTTCGGGGCAGAGAGGATGCTGGGAAGAAGAATTGAGTCGCCAGCAAGATTTGGAAGAAGCATGATGGGCAAAATGGAGAAGAGGTAACAAGCACATGGAAGAACATAGATTAAAAGATATGGGTTAATTTAAGTTAAAAGAGCTAATTAGAAAGAAGCCTAAGCTAAGGCTGAGCTTTTACAATTAATAATAAGTCTCTGTGTCATTATTGGGAAGCCAATGGTTCCAAATAAAAAGTCCGACTACAGGAAATAGCCCTCTCCTCCTGATGAGATAAATGTGCAAAGTGGTTGGTCAGATCCTAGAACCATGAAGTTTTCTACTCAGTCTTCAACATTCAGCTAGCAGTGTAAGTAGATTAAAAAAACAAACGTTTAAAAGAACACCTACAAAATGCATAATTGTTATTACCTCTATGAATGGGAGGTGCCTAATCAAAAAGACTTGTTAACTCGGTCTGAACTATTTCCTTTTCCAGAAACAAGTTTCAGTTGTTCCTATTATTAGATTTTTTAAAAGTCACTGTTTTAGAAAACTCTGGAAGCCCCGTGGTAGTGATGTATCAAGTTGATGCTCTTGGTTGATGCAAATAACAGAGAAGTTAATCTAAGCAGTGAGGCCTGGGGAGCAGACAGCTTATTCACCCTTAGAATAAGATGTTCAGTGGGTTGAGGTATGCTAGATTACAAAGTTCAAGCATGTCACTGAAGACTTGGATTCTTTATTATTATTATTATGATATTATCATTATCGTGATCTCTGTGTGTGTATGCTTGTGTGAGCAATCATGTGTCTAGGATACGTGCCGGTCAGAAGACAACTTCCTACAGCCAGTAGTCCCAATCTACTTTTATGTGGGTTCTGGGGTGGAACTCTGGTCATCGGGCTTTGAGGCAAATGTTTCTACCTGCCTAGCCATCTTGCCAACCCAAGACTCAGGTTCTTCCTATTTCCTGGCTTTGGCGGATTGGGAAGAAATTTGCTGCAAATCTCTTGGAGTTCTCAGGGTTCGTTGCGTTCTCAGGCTGATAGCAAGATGGCGGCAGCGGCTGCAGGCAGACGTGGCAGAGAGCGCAATCGTGAACAGGAGGCGTGGAGTGCTCACTATGTGCTACCGTTTCCGTGCATTTGCTCACGTTCCTCGCACAACCCGTTTCAGTGCTGGGGAAACCGAGGCATCGAGAGACCAAGTAATTTGACAGCGGTTGCGTGTTCATTGAGTAGGAAAGCCAACCCAGGCAGTCCTGCACAAGGGTCGGCGAGTCTGATCTACTCTGCATTTGTTTTCCCTACCCCTTTCCGTCTTCCTGTAGTTTACTCGGAGGGGTGAGGCCACTTCTCAGGAGCCTCTCAGAGACTGCTCGTGTTTCTCATTGGCTCACACTGACTTCTGAACCAATCAGATTACTCTTTTTCCTAATATTCAAATTATTCATTCATTCATTATTTATTTATTTATTTATTTATTTATTTATTTGTAAGCAGGGGCTTTTCTCTGTCTTGCCCCATCCCACAGCTGCTTCCAAATAATCACTCAGAGGCTTATATTAATTACAAATGCTTGGCCGATGGCTTATTACTAACTAGTTCTTACATTTAAATGACCCTGTTTCTATTAATCTATGAATCTCTACGTGGCCAGTGGCTTACTAGTCCTTTGGCATCTTGCTCCTGGGTGGCTGGCTTGCATCTCCCCGATTCCGACCTCTTCATCCCAGTCCTCAGCTTGATTTTTCCGCCTAACCTTATCCTGCCTGGTTATTGGCCAAAACAGCTTTATAACAACCAATGAGAGCAGCACCCACTCACAGCATGTAGGAGGACCATCCCACACCATTTATTTATTTGTTCATCTTGAGACGGGGTTTCTCTGTATAGCTCTGGCTGTCCCGGATCTCATGCTGTAGACCAGCCTGGCCTGGAACTCACAGGGATCCATCTGCCTCCATCTCCTAAGTGCTGGGATTAAAGGTGTGTGCCACCATTATCCGGCTATTTATTTTTTATATAATGTTTTTATAAATTATTTGGAAATTTCACATAATGCACCCCAACACCCTTACTTCCCAGTCCTCCCAGGTCTGCTTCCCCAACTCTTGGGGCCTTCCCCTCCCCCAGAAAAAAATAAAAAGAGGGGGAAAAAAAGTCCGATTTGTGTTGCCCAAATAGTCACTGGAGCGTGGTTCAGCTCCCAGTGGCCATCCCCTTAAAGGAGAGTTAGTCCCACTCCCACCCCTGCCAGCAGCCATGTGTTGTGGAGAGGTACACTCCAGCATCCTTGTCACCATTTTTAAGTTCTTTCCATGGCTTCCTGTCTAGGTGGTTACTTTTTGGGGGGGTGTTGGGGGGGTTGTTACAGAAGCCTTCCATGCCTCCCTTTCCCAACTGTGGGTCTGTAGTCATCAATGCCACTGCAGAAGAAACTTCCTTGTCCTTTACGGTCACCTGGAGCACTGATCACGGACTCCCACATGGTGTCTGGTAACAGCTTGGACCAGGGACATTCACCTGGCCTCTGGTGACAGCACATGCTATCATAGAACTCTGCATGGTCTCTGGTGGCATTACAGGCCACAGACACCAACATGGTCCCCAGTGGCAGCCCAGCCCACAGACATCAACATGTTCCCCAGCTGCAGCAGGACCATCAACCCAGGCGTCCCCCACCACCACCACCTTGGCAGCCTGGCCCACGGACATCAGCATGGCTTTAGGCGGTAGCACAGATAATGGGCTGCCAAGGACATCAATATAGCTTCCCCCACCACCCCTGTAGCAGTAGGACCATGGACCCAAACATAGCTCCCAGCAGGAGCACAGATCATGGACATCCACATAGTCTTTGGTGGTAACATGGGCCATTGTGGTGATATTGTGTTCCCCAAAATATTATGCACCCTAATAAACTTATCTGGGGTCAGAGAACAGAACAACCACTAGATACAGAGGCCAGCAAATGGCGACACTCACACCTTTAATCCTCGCATTCCTAAGGCAGAGATCCATCCAGATCTGAGTTCAAAGCCACACTGGAAACAGCCAGGCGTGGTGACTCACGCCTTTAATCCCAGGAAGTGATGGCAGAAGCAGAAAGGTATATAAGGCATGAGGACCAGGAACTAGAAGCTTTTGGCCTGGTTAAGCTTTTAGGCTTTTGAGCAGCAGCTCAGCTGAGATTCATTCTGGATGTGGACTCAGAGGCTTCCATTCTAAGGAAACAGGATCAGCTGAGGAATTGGCGAGGTGAGGTAGCTGTGTCTTGTTCTGCTTCTCTGATCTTTCAGCATTCACCCCAATACCTGGCTTCAGGTTTGTTTTTATTAATAAGACCCTCTAATAATTCGTGGTACAAGCCATGGACACTGCAGTAGGACCATGGACTCAGACATGGCCCCCAGAGGCAGCATGGACCGTAGACATCAACACAGTCTCAGGTGGCAGT